GAGTATCTGAACATGCTAATTTAATCACATCTGGATGGTAACAGTAAGAATGGGAAAGGACATTTGCTCCACAGAAAGAGAGGGGCTTAAGGAGCAAGAGTAGTGGCACTATTAATATTACAGTGCGTAAAATCATTAAGAGACCCATCTGAATAATTCTGGAATGAGTGAGAATAGTAGTGTACCTTAGAGGATCACAGATTGCCACAAAGCGGTCAAAGGCCATGGCCACCAGCACCCCAGATTCTATGAAAGTAAATCCATGAAGAAAAAACATCTGGATAATGCAGCTATCTAGACTGATTTCTCTTGCATCAAACCAGAGGATAGCTAATGTTGTTGACATTGTAGAAATAGTCAAGCCCAAGTCCGCAGCTGACAGCATGGAGAGGAAATAGTACATGGGCTCATGGAGACTGTGCTGGGTGAAGATGACAAACAGGATCATGCTGTTCCCAGAGAGAGCAATGGCATAAAGACAGCAGAAGGGAATGGAGATCCAGGCATGGACAGACTCTAGGCCAGGAATGCCGGTCAACAAGAAAGTTGGAAATGTAGAAGTCAAGTTACTTAAGATCTCTATGTTTTGTAGATTTGTAGCATTTGTCCTCACAATGCTCATATCCTATAGAAACAAGAAAGTACATGGTTACACAAAATATCTAGATAAATTTTCTTTGTGTTAAGAGAGGTATCTAACTTCATAAATAAGTGCTCTACCATTGTGAAAACTCTAAATTGAACTCTGACATTTATCTGTGTTCATATCGGATATTTAGCAAAATATATGAACATTTTAGGTCTTAAATTCAAGGAAAATATGTCGGTATAATTTTATTCATTTTATTGGGTCTTAAATTCAAGGAAAATATGTCGGTATAATTTTGTTCATTTTATTGATTATTATTTTATATATTGACATAGTTTTAAGTTCCATTAGATCATTAGATTCTGTGAATAGAGACTTAGCTAAGAAAAATAATTACATTCAATTTTAGGTATATAATATATGAAATGACTAAGAGAAATCCACTTAAAGGTATCCTTAGATCTGAAGTGTCCATGAGATGTGAATCTCCAGGCAAAAAGTTCCAGATTTGAACTGGAGACAAAAACTCAGATTTTTGCTCCTTATAGATTTCGAAGTTGTGAATCATTTTAATCCAACATTGTGGCTGAACAATCTCAAAGAGTGGACTTATAAGTGAAAACTAGTGACAATGAAACTCTGCAGATTTACTGTAAAGGTTTATATCCTAAAGTGAGATGAGTGTAGACAAGTTATAGGAACCATAAAAACCAAGAGAGCATGGTGTTATGACTCAGTGCTATATGAACAATAGTGTAGAATTGCTTATGCAGTCAAGTCTACTAAGGGTCAAAATTTTTAAATGAGATCCCATGTAATGGTTATATTAGTGAGCCTAAAAAAGTAATCGAATTTCCCCAATGAAAGCTGAGAACCTGCTATGGTAGCATGAGGAATAAATGGGAGAATAAGCAGTGGAGGCACAGTGTATATTATTTCTGGAAACTTGTTAGTGGAAGCAAGGGGAAAGGCCATGACTAAGGTAGATGGAGAATTTTTGCAAAATTGTAAAGATTGAGCATCGTCCCATGCACCAATAGGTCATCGGTTCATTCCCCATCAGGGCAGGAGACAGCCAATCGATGTTTCATTGATGTTTCTATCTCTCTCTCCCACTCCCTTCTTCTCTCTCTAAAAATCAATTAAAATATATTTTAAAAAAAGATATAGTAAATAACGAGAGCTTGAAAATATACAATGGTATAGAAAATTCTTCAAGAAAGTACCAGGTGATTGATTTAGAACATGATAGTAATTAGCCCTCAAAAAATTGACATGATGCAATATACAGATCATGTGTCATAGAAATGTACACTTGAAATCTATATAATTGTATTAACCAATGTCACCCCAATAAATTTAATTTTAAAAAGGTGATTATCATCATTTCCACTGACATTAGAGAGTAAGTGGCAAAAAGGTAGATTAGTGGAGGGTTACATGAGGGCATTATGTGCCAGTGCTTTAAAATAAATTTTTTATGGTAGTCAAATACACCGAACATAAAATTTACCATCATAACCATTTTAGGTGTACAATTCAATGATATTTCATATATTCATAGTGTTGTGTGACATTACCATGAACTACCTCAACTCTTCTCATCTTGTAAAACTGAAACTCTATAGCCATTTAAACAATACCCCCCTCCCATTTCCAGATTCCCACTAGTCTCTGAAAACCACCATTCTACTGTCTCTCCTTATGTTTTGATTATTCTAAATATCCCATATAAATAGAATAACGCAGTATTTGTTATTTTGTGATAGCTTATTTTACTTAGCATAATGTTCTCAAGGTTCATACATGCTGTAGCCTGTGTGAGCATTTCCTTCCTTTTTAACTAGTGCTTACTTTTTGCCCCACATGAGTTTTGAGTGATATTTACTGCTGTTCTAGGAGTATGAAGTGATGGATGCCAGTTTGAAGATAAGTTAGAGGTTTTCAGTAGACATTGCAGAAAAGAGGAAAGGCAGTTGAATCAATCCACACAGAAATGTTATAAATGTTATAAAGTTTCATTCAATTAACATTTTAAAAATATTTAAATGAATACATTTACATTGTTAAAATCAATTCTAGGAAGACAAAATCAAATAATAGCAATATTAATTATTATAATATTAATATGTTTTTAATTAAACATTTAAAAATACTAGGTAAAGTTTACTTCCTGAGAGCAAATACCCTGTAATAAGTATACATGTTACTATTCCCTTTATGCTTGTTTCTACAGATGCTTTTTCATTTCAAGTTCCTAGGGTTTTCAATCAATCTGAGAAAAATCATTACAATAGTTAACTATAATTTCATAGGGTTCAGAAATCTGTGTGTTATATGGATCCCTGAGGACAGGGGTGACTGTAAGTTATCTGACTTTTCTACAAGCTCACATGAATATTTGTGAGTAGGCACCCATCAAAGTGCAATGTTCGCACAATAAAACACCTTTCTCTACCTTCTTACCAACTTCATGTGGAAAGAGGAGCCTTTTCTGTCTTCACTAGCAGGGAGAGAACAAGTTACAGTTCCGGATCCAAGGCCTTTATAGCAAAGTGGGATTGAGCTGTGGGACCATTGGCAAGATGCAAATCTCCCTGGGGTCACAGACAGAGAAAAACTGAAAAATTTCTCTCTCTCCATCTATTAATACAGGACAATGTGTTCCATGGGATCCTTAAATGCAAATAAACTAAATCATCCATATAAATGGATGTTGCTCTGTCACTGGGGAATAGAGAAGGGCAGGTTGTTGTGTCTGTATTATCCATATGCTGTGAAGATAAGAAAGCAAACCAGTGTTTCCTGGGATAATCATAGTGACAATAAAGAGTGAAGAAATTTGCAAACCACTCTCTAGGCCCTTGTTTCTTTATTACTGCATTGTTCCATAGGGAGGATGATACATCCACTCGTGAATCCATCTTTGCCCAGCCACTCACAAGCTTTTCCCCCTCAAATGGGTCAGCTCCTGATATGTGAATTGGGCCCTATTTTGCTATTGGCTGGCATCACTGTGTATGAGTAATGAGTTCTCATGTGTGCTTACTCTGGTAGATGCTGTTTTCCTGTGGTAATAAATGGAAGGGTCCAGATTCTTGGGAGAATTTGTCCAGTCTTGTCAATGTGTGCAGTTGAGTATGGATGCTGATTACTTCATAGGCCTAGCAATTCTCGATTCATAGGAGAAGGAAAGACCAACACCCAAACATTACGTTTCTCTTTTGTAGAGAAGTCCCACATTGACAGAGAGAATCTTGGGTTTGCCTAGATGTCAATAAGACCAGTAATATGGTTCTCATTTAGCTATTTTTCTTTGATTTCTATTTTGCTATTATTCCTATGCTTTCTTGTTTGAGAACTCTTAACAGTAGAAAGTGTGAGTGGTTAAATTCAAACACCATAACTCTACCTGCAACCCCTATCAAGTGTCTGAAATGATACTTCTGTTATTTACATAACAGACTTATCTTATTTGACTAAAAATATCCTTCAAATTTCCATGGGAATAATAAAAGTAGACCTTAGAACTGAGAAGTCTGGTATCCAGTTTTGTAGAAATGAGGCAAAAATAAACCTGTAAGTACCATCTTGTGGTTAGTAGTGGAATTGTTGGGATAATAATATCAGGCACATGTGATTCAATCATTCATTCATGTTAACTAGTGTTTTTTCCAGTAAGCTAGGTTTGGGAATAGAATAGTGAGCAAATATACTGTGCTTTTATGGAATTTATATTCAAGTCAGAAGAACAGATGATAAATAAATAATTTAAATAATTACATATCATACTAAGATAGGGAGGAAATAAAGTATTTATGTTAAAAGAAAATTATAGGGGGCAGGATCTAGTCAAGATACAAGGTTAAGAAACATCTTGCTGAAAAGGTGGTTTTAGTTGAGACCTAAAGGATGATTAGAGGGAGATAGAATGTCCTAGAAAGGAACAATGGGGCAACCTGAGATGATTAAGAGCAAAGCCCTAAGACAGATAAGTGGTTGATGTGCTTGGAAATAAAGAATACTAGAAGGGCTGAAGCAAAGGAGAAAGGTAACAATATACTAATTGAGGTATGTTGAAAAAAAACACAATACACTACTCATCTCCAATAGGAAATGAACTACTCATACATGTAACAGTATGGATCTGTAAAACTTTATGCAGAGAAAAAAGTGCCACACTCCACTCAAAAACGTATCATTTATTTTTATATACATATATAAAGTTCTAGTGAGAAAACAATTAATCCACAGTGAAGAAATCATATCAGTGTCTACCTGTTTGGGTAGAAAGAAGTGATTGGCTACAAAGAGGTAGAAGAAATCTTTACAAAGTAATGAAAATGTTCTATATCTTAATTGGGCTGGTAGTTACATAGGCATTAAATGTTTCTGAAATCATCAAAGTATGTATTAAAATATTTTTATTTTATTATCTCAAGTTATTCAATTTTACAAAGAAAAAAGGGGGAGACTCACAATCATTAATTGATTTGCTGATAAGGGAGTAAAGATCCCTTACAACTCTAAATTTCGGAATTATGAAAATGATCCTGCAGAATACTCATTAATTTGGGGGGGGCACTTTAGGCTCAAATAGCTATTTCTTTTGGGAGAAGCAAACATATTACTGATTCCTTTATCTGATGTTGGTTTTAGTAATATAAAAGCCTGAACTTTAGAACCTTCTTTACTATTGACTTTGACAGGAGAGTGGTAAATGAAGATAAAAACACAAATGTAAGGGTTGTAACCAATACGTTACCTTTTTTGAGGTGATGGTATTATGGGTGTATGAAATTGTCCAAACCTATCAAAATGTATGTACGTATTAAATATATGCAACTTTTTGCATGTTAAGTATACTTCAATAAAGTCGGAAAAAATAAGAAAAAATAAAAGAACATAGTTTTCTAAAATAGCTTAAAGTTTTAATTTTAAAGGAAATTAAATATTTATAAATATCATTATAATTTCTAGTGACTTTTTCACTACTTTTAACCACATGAGAGAATCTCCTTCCTCAGTCTTTTCCCAAACTTCTTCGTTCTGATAACCATTGTCATCAGGAAATCAGCAAATTTTGTAAAGAGACCAACTCAGAATACCTAATCCTAATTGTTAGCAGTCTCAAGAACTTGTGATTTTGGAAAATTTACATCTAGATTTTCAAGTTTTACTGAAACGTAATCTATTCCAGAGTCCCTCATCCTTGCAGATTGCCCACTCCACTCCCCAGACTTTGGCACTTAATTAATCTCTTTTGTACACTTTTGTTGTTTCAATTACTTTTTCATACTAAAATTAAAGTTCCTCAATTGAGGATAATTTTTAAAAAATACATAAACGAGCAAAAATAATTAAAATACCACAAATCTTATTACTCTGAGTAGATGTTATTAGCATTTGGATGTATTTCCAGAATCTTTTTCTTTGCACATGTATTCCTTTTTTTTAGTATTGGCATCAGCCTTATGGACATTTGTTCTCCCCCCCCCCCCTTTAATATTATACCATGACCATTTTTCACACACTTACATACTCTTTGCAAATATAATAGTTAAATGACACATGATATTCAATTGCTCATTGCATTATCTGGTTCCTTATAGATTAATATTGGAATGTTTTCTGGTTTTGTTTTTATAAATAATAAATATATACACATCTTTGTACTGTTTTCTAACATTCTATTTCTATAAAGAGATTCCAATATAGGGAAAATTCATGTACTTTTAACTGTTTTGATGGAAATTTTATACTCTTTTTAAAACAAGGTATACCAACTTAGTGTTCTACAAACAATGTAAAAATAATTTTTACTTTAGTGGTCTGTGGAAGATGATATACTTTTCAAAATCTTCACTCATTTTGGAGATTTTTACTGTTTTCTTGTGATGATGAACATAGGTCAACTCAGCACTTCTCAGAGAAGTCTTATTCTGGGGATGCTGAAAATTGTCTCCTTTTGCTTCTGGAAGGTTGCCGACCTCTGGGCCAGTGGTTCAGAGAAATGACTTAGTGATGAGATATGATGGCCTGGCAAACTTTCTGCATTTATGTCCCCAGAGCAGTGGGGTGATTGGGGTGGTTATGATGCTGTGCACTTGGGCTCAGGGGTCTTTTCCACAACATCCTTGAATAACCCTGTCCCTGATTTGTTTGGTTCTAACTCCATAGATGATGGGATTGAGCATGGGAGGCACCAGTAGATAGAGATTAGCCAACATGACATGTACCACTCGGGGCACACGGTGTCCAAAGCGATGGGTGAGGAAAGTAAAGAGGGCTGGGATATAAAAAGCCAAGATGACACAGACATGGGAAGCACATGTACCAAAAGCCTTGAGTCGGGCTTCACCAGCGGGCAACCCCAGCACAGTCCTCAAGATCATCACATAGGATATGCTGATGACTATCATGTCAAAGCCAACCACCGAGAAGGCCACGAAGAGCCCATATGCACGATTTACTCTGGTATCAGCACACACCAACTTCAACACAGCCATGTGCTCACAGTATGACTGAGGAATGATCTGGCTGGGGCAGAAGGGCATTCTGGAAACCATAAAGCAGAAGGGGCTCACCCACAAAAACCCTCTCATCATCACGACTGCCCCCAGTTTACCCACTGCAGAGGGGGTCAGGATACTAGAGTGACGAAGTGGGAAGCAGATAGCCACATAACGGTCCAAGGCCATTGCCATGAGCACCCCAGACTCCACGGAAGAAAAGGCATGGATGAAGAATACCTGGATGAGGCAGGCATGGTATTCAATCTCATGAGCATGAAACCAGAGAATAGCCAGCATTTTAGGTTGGGTGGAGGAGGAGAGGACCAGATCAGTGACAGCCAGCATGGCCAGAAAGAGGTACATAGGTTCATGCAGGGTGTGGTCAGTTCGAATTATGTGGAGAATAGTGATGTTGCCAACTACAGCCACCACATACATGGCACAAAATAGAAAGGCAATCCAAAAGTGGGAACTCTCCAGTCCTGGGATGCCAAGCAGGATGAAGGACATGGGATGAGAAGAGCTGTTTCCTGAAGCCAACATCACAGGATGGTTAAGTTCTCCATTGGGAAGGTAATCTACTCTCTGCAGGTGATAATCAAATAAGTCAAGTAAATTATTATTTATAATCTTTTGGAAGGAGCAATTGAATAATAAGGCAATAGCATTTAAGGATAAGCTAGAATAATTTCAACTACTTTAATAAATAAAAATTTATAACATAAAGTGATGCTACTCTTGATTCTTTATTCATATTTATGCCATTCAAAATGGGGTCAGAACATACTAGCTGTAAGTGTAACTTTTTTATAAGAACATTGTTTGGAAAGTAGAATCTACTAAGGGAAGACTATATTGACAAATAATGTCATAGTAATTCTCACCCTTTTATTCTTTAGACCTAACAACTGATTTGGTTAACCTTTCCCCTAGGCCAGTAGTTGGCAAACTCATTAGTCAACAGAACCAAATATCAACAGTACAGCGATTGAAATTTCTTTTGAGAGTCAAATTTTTTAAACTTAAACTATGTAGGTAGGTACATTGTTATTAACTTAATTAGGGTACTCCTAAGGCTTAGGAAGAGCCACACTCAAGGGGCCAAAGAGCCGCATGTGGCTCGTGAGCCACATTTTGCCGACCACGGCCCTGGGCCCTTTTTATCCCTCTGTTTAAGCTGCTTGCACAACTTCCAGGGTGGAAAGCCAGCTGAGAAATGCAATAAATTAGTGCCTTGTACATGACTCCACATCCGTGCTTTTGGTCATACACTGTCTTTGCTAGATAATGATTGATTAGAATACTCACCCTGGTGGAATAAAGTAGAGATTGTTGCCCTCTTATGACAAAGGCATATATGAAAGTTAGTCACAAAATTATATACTGAATTATAGACAGATCTGCATTTGAACCCAGAATCTCTGCCACATCACTGGAGTGGCTCTAGAATATGCCCCAAGTTGGTCTTCTGGGTATGGGCTGCTTTTTCTAAGAAAGCATCTTTATTAGTTTCTGCCAATGAGTTTCAAAGGAGAACTCAACTGTTATACATAATTTTGGGGGGAGTAGTGACTCTTCTCAGCCAGGATTCAGCTACTCACAGTGTGCAGTCTCTTTCACAAGCCAGTACTCACTCCAGACTCTCCAATGGCCTTCCCACAGACCAGAGCTCTCCCATAGAGATGCTTCTCAGCTTTCTCATTCCATTGACTCTGATTTTCTGCTCTAAGATTGTCTTTCTTGGGTGAACAACAAAGCAGTAGAGTTGACCTAGGACCCGAGTCTGATGTGGAACATGAGGGCCCTTGACAGGTAGTTCTCTTTCCTCTCTGTGCTTTCTGCTGCTATCCCATGGAATCAGCAATTCCCTTATCATTTTTTTTTCTCTCAGACCTACGAACTCCACATGCAGAGTTAAGGCTATAAGTCATGGAGAGTGGACAGGGAGTTAACAATCTTTGATCATTTTTGTGCAGTGCCTGAGGTTTACAATAGTGTTTCTGTGGAGAAGACAGGTTATCTGGGTTAAGGGATGGAAATGTACATTCCCTAAAGGAAGAGTGTCATACTTTCCCTTTTGACCAGCATTCTTTGCCTCCTTCCCTGATTTTAAATATTTCCTCCCTCCCTACCCTCTATGGGCTAGAACGCTTGTGAGCATAGTGCATATTGAACGATGAAATTGTCATCTTTTTCAAGCATTCTAGATAGGGTGATCACACAATGAACTTCAGACTCAATTTATCTTTTCCCTAAAATATAATCTAACTTGTGGGAACTTGGCATGGCTTTTGTTTCAGGAAATATGGTTATTAGAATTATATTCTCACATTGATGGAGCTCCTCTTTCATCTGCGAGTATGGGTTTAATCCAGCTTTGGTCCCCACTGGCTCTGTGGGGGCCTCAATTACTGCACTCATTATGTAGAAATAGTTATGTCCATTAGTACAATGGTGTTGCTCAAGCCTAAATGGATGAAAGATATAATGGGCTGAGATCTTGCTAAGAAATAGCTTCAGGGATATTTAGATTTTGTTTTCTCATGTTGGGGCATCTAAAACTACAGCATAGAACAGCAATGCTGGAGCAGGGTGAGGTTCAGGTCCAGCCTCCTTTGTGCAGGGATTGCATATGGAGGTGGTCTTTCTATTCTTCTGGAGTTTCCCTGAAAGACAGGTCGAGCAGTGAGTCTTCTCAGAAGGAAGGTCAGCAATCAAGGATCTCTCGACTGGGAGCCCCCAGTGAGTCAGGCTATTCTTCACAGAACACATCTTGCCTTCCAGCATCTTGGAGCCCCTGTGAGTCCTACTTCTCTCTGGGAGGGGCAGAGATAACTGGGGTACAGGAAACCACTCACCTTGAGCTCTGTTTTATCTCTGACCAAGCTTCACATGACCATGAGCAACTCTAACTGGCTCCTGGGATTCAGTCATTAGCAGAGACCTCAGATGAGGGCCTATTTAAAGGTCTATTGAAGTCTGGCCTTTCCCTTCCCCCAAGCATTAGTTCTCCTCCTCCTGAGCCCCACTGCCTCATGCATTGGCTTCCTCTGAGACTAGAGACTAAAGCTGGAAGCATTAACCCCTAACTTTCCCCTCTCCTCTGTGTACACAAGTACAAAAGCAGGGGATTTAATGCATGTGGCAGAGGGTGCGTTGTTGAGATTACACAAATGTGAGTTTATCTGTATGAAGGTAATTGTTGTTAGTCAGAGTATGTACACTTATAAGTGAAGGAATATTCTGTTCAATGTGAAAGTGTATTGATATGTCATGTGGCCTTGTGTTTATGGAAGAATAGATCAATACATTATTGAAAAAATGATAGAGATAAGAAATAACTCCAAACATAATTAACTGATTTTCAGCAGAGATATGAATGCAATTCAGTGATGGAAAAATGTCTTTATGGTACTAGAAGAACTGGATATCTGCATGAAAAAACAAAATGAACCTAAACTTCTATTACTTTAATATAAAAATATCTTGATTTGAAATATAATATAAACCTACTTTTAAAAGTTAAAACTGTAAGGATTCTAAAAGAAGAAAAATATGATAATATTGTCATAAGCTTGAGGAAAGCAAACATTTCTTAGGCAGAACATAAAAGACATTAGCCATAAAAGAAAAAAAAATAACATTAAAGCTCATTTTAAAGAGTCTACTTCAAACGATTACATTATAAATATGAAAAGGCAAGCAACAGATAGAGAAAATAGTTACAATGCTGTACCTGAAAAAATAAAAACTTACAATTAATAGAAAGATGAACAACTCACTAAATTTTTAAGCAAATGATTTAAACAGGTACTACTTCACAAGGGAGATAAAGGAATGGATTTATATATATATATGCATATGAAGAGGTGCTCACCATTATTATTATAGGGAAATGAAAAGAATCAAACCACAATGAGAACCAATGCAAACTCATTAGAACAACTAAAATTAAATACAATGATAACACTAAGTTTTGGCAGAAATGTGGGGCAATGGGAGCACCCATGCACTGAGTAGAGCCACATCAGGAACATTTCTGGCAATTTCTTTAAACTTATTAAAGTCAAACATCTTTTTGTCCAAGGAATTTCACTTGTAGTTGCATACCCCAAATAAATGGCTTATATATACATAAAAAATGTTAAAGAATGTTTACAATAGCTGTATTCATAGCAGGTAAAATGTGGAAACAACTGAAATATCTGTCAATCAATTAAACAAATTTTGCTACATTTAGTCAATAGAATACTACTAAGCAAATAAGGAAAAGGAAGAAAGAACTGGGGGGCGGGGAGTATATCTTTTATAATAAAAACCTAATATGCAAATCAACTGAACAGCAGAATGACCGGTGGAACGCCCAGTCGCTATGATGCTCACTGACCGCCAGGGGGCAGATGCTCAATGCAGGATCTGCCCCTAGCCTGCAGGCCCCAGGCCAGCCAAAGCAGGTGCCAGCAAGGGGGCCCCAATCACCCTGCCGGTTGCCCCACAGATTGGCCCGATCGCCGGTCAGGCCTAGGGACCCTACCCATGCATGAGTTTCGTGCATTGGGCCTCTAGTATAGAAATAATACTGTGGAATTCAAAGCACCAAGGATAAAGAGTAGAGCCTAATGCTTTAAAATAGGGAGATGACCTACAAAGGAAGGCCAGTAAGTTTAGTTTTTGTCTGACAGGCCTAGTAGTGAATAGGTGAGATTTCTTTAATAGTTTCTACATGCCAGACTGTATTCTAAAGGTTTTTAAATTACAGAATGACTTATTCTCTACAACAACTTCATGAACTTGGTCTCAACATCCTCATTTTACAGGTAGAGAAACTAAGGCACAGAGAAATTAAGTTTTCACAATGTAGATATATAGACCCAGTACTTTATCGCTAGTCTTATTCACTATGTTAAACTAAACCTTAAAATGTTCAGAGAAAGCCCTGGCCAGTGGCTCAGTTGTTGGGAGCGTGGTCCTGTACACCAAAGATTGTGGGTTCAATCCCCAGTCAGGTGTGTACAAGAGGCAACCAATCCATCATTATCTCTCACATTGATGTTTCTCTCTCTTTCCCTTCCTCTCTCTAAAATCAATAAACAAGTGTGGCTCAGTGGTTGAGCATCAATTTATGAATCATAAGGTCACGATTTGGTTTCAGGTCAGGGCACATGCTTGGTTGTGGGCTCTCCAGTGGGGTGTGTGCAGGAGGCAGTGAACCAATGATTCTCTATCCCTTGATGTTTCTATCTCTCTCTTCCTCACCCTTCCTTTCTGAAATCAATAAAAACACTTAAAAAAATCAATAAATACATTTCTCTTTTTCTCTCTTCCTAAGATCAATAAACATATCCTCAGGTGAGAATTAAAAAACATGTTCAGAGAAAAATCTACTTGGTTGTGGGCTCTCCAGTGGGGTGTGTGCAGGAGGCAGTGAACCAATGATTCTCTATCCCTTGATGTTTCTATCCCTCTCTTCCTCACCCTTCCTTTCTGAAATCAATAAAAACACTTAAAAAAATCAATAAATACATTTCTCTTTTTCTCTCTTCCTAAGATCAATAAACATATCCTCAGGTGAGAATTAAAAAACATGTTCAGAGAAAATTATTTAAAAATCTAACAATTCTATATAAAGCCAATCTATCAATAAAGTATAGGGTCTAAGAAAATATATTTTTTGAGACAAGCAGGAACACAGAAAATTTATCATTTTCTGCATCCATTTTTTTTTTACCTGAATAAAACTGGATTATGTGCTTCAGCAAAATGGAACAGATATCCAGTAAAGTTCAACTATTGCTAACCAAGTATGAATGGAAACTACTCAAGAGTGCCATGTAAAGTAATTCAGAACTCAGAACTCAGAAATTCAGAACTCAGGCTCCATCCAAGACATAATGAATTAGAATTTTCATTTTAATAAGGTCTTGAGGTTATTTGTAGAGTCACCAAATTTTGCAAACTTTTAACTACCATCCTGAGTAAATATCATGAGTGGGATGATGAAGAGAGCCTCTCTATCCTGCTAGCAGGCAAAATGGAAGATAATTTGAAATTCAGAGAAAACAGAAAGTGGTCTTAGAAATCCACTATTCATTATAAATGAAATGAAAAAGTGATATAATTGAATCATGTACAAGGAAAGAACCTATTTTATTTTGATGAATAGATGCTTCCTTAAATAGAGATATGGGCTTAGTGATTTAGGATGATATACGTACATTCCTTTTTTAGTTACAGGAGAAAATGTCAAAGTCAGTCAAGCCAAGGAAGTGGAGTAAATTGTGATTCTGTGTTACTCAAGTTTGGCATTTATTATATACTAGAGGCCTGATGCATGAAATTTGTGCAAGAGTAGGCCCTCCTTCCCCCAGCTGCTGGCACTGGCTTCCCTCTGGCACCGGGACCCGG